ACATGGGGGAGTTTGTAGGCAGGCACAACACTTCCTAGGTTTTCTCACTTCGTTAAACAAGGTGAGGTTCCCACAGTAATCGGGATCAAAGGGAAGAGAATGATGGATTCAAGGTCCTTGCATGGCAAAAGCTGAGAATCATTGCTATAGAGAGAAAACCAGGAATTACACTATCATCTCTTTAAAAATCGTATACCTCCTAACACAGCCTATATCAGCAGTATGCAAGAGAAGAATCATGACTATTCACAAATGCTGAGCACAATCAAGATGATCCAAAATACCATTATTTAATTAGAAAACTATGTGTGGAGGAAGGTTGGGACAGATTTGCCTCAAGCAAAATCTTCTTGAGAGCTTTATCTGCCCTGTTTTTAAAGGGCTCGCATGCCAGGGGCACCACGTTTTCTCTTGCTGACCATATGCATTATTTTATCCCACCTCCATACGTGTCCCCAGTACTTCGCTTCGGTTTTCTTTACCTTGTCCCTGCACCTTGGTTTGCCAGCAACTTGGAATCCATCACTGGAGGTGTTCTCCTCCCTCAGCAGTGCCAACATTGACAGCTATGCTTACAGCATGAGAACAAGTGCAGCGTGGTAATAGTTAGCATATTAAAGAACTTTATGAGCACTAATTAATACATTTACATAACAGTCCCAAGAGACAGTCTGCTCACCAATTACTACTTATCACAATAACGGTGCTCTGAGGCACAAGTGAAGCAGACACCACAACCCCTGCTGTTTTACATCACTCCCAGCCCTAGTGTGATGCTCTAGGTGAGCTTTACTTACCATGGGAAGCGCCTATCCTGAGCAGCAGAGGCATGCAGAGCCCCGCATCAGCACCACCAAAGTGGGATGCATCAGCCCGGTGCAGGAGCTGGGCTGCTCCATGTTGCTGAGAGGCACACCTGTCTCTAGACTGCTGTGGGACTAAACTAGTCCCAGTTGCACCAAAAAAAAAAATAAAATAAAAGGGGTTGCTACTCCAGAGCACCTTGTACTTGAACAGCATTGCTGCCCACAGGGACTGGTGCTCTAGGCAGACTTTCCCTACTTTCCCAATCTAGAAGATGCTCTGCCTGTACTTAAGGGATCTCTGATCTGCCTGCACTGGACTACACCAAAAAAAAAAAAAAAAAAAAAAACAAAAAACACTGTTCACAACACCAGACTGTGACATTTAGTCCTCTCACCGTGGAGAAAAATAATGACAATTTATTCTGTTTTAATGTATTTCCAGATCATGCTGAAAGCCTAGAATGCACTTCATTTGCAAGAGAAAAGGTGCTTCCTTGTCTCCCGTCCTCAGGACACAGCAGCTTCCCTAAATCACCTGTTGCTCCTTGGACCTTTTTGAGTAGGAACAGGCCACAGCTGACAAGTCTGCAGCTCACAGAAGTGCTTATTTGGAGATATTGCTCTGATGCTATTGCACTGCTGATTCAGGAGGGAGTTTTCCCCAGCTTACTCTCAAAGCATTTCACCTGATTGATGATTCAGTCTTTTTGCTTCGAGCATAAATCACCTTCCAGATAAAGGCTTGCTAGAAAGCTTTCATTGGCCCCAATTAAAATGTAACTCCATGAAAGTCTAAACAGTGGATCGGCAAGGAAAAATTGGGCTGAGATTTGTGAACTAGTATTCTCCCTGACCTCCTAATTCCTCAATTTATCACAGGAGAAGGAGCGAATATTCACGAGGTAGATTACTTACTGCAAAGCCTTGCCTTTGATGGTATTTTTCTCTAAATCTGCATGAAGGCTGTATCTGTACCACCTGTGAAGTCATCTCAATCCTTTGGAAATGACTAAATAGTCCTCGCAAAGAACCTCCCACTGGAACCTTTGGAAAAACCTGAGCCAAACCATCCAACTCAAGCCCAAGCTCCCTCTTTTGTGAGCATCAGTTTACACAGAACTCCTCAGCTTGCCTGTTGCCACCACAGAGCCAGCATCTAGCAGGCTTATTTTTCTGTCTCAGAGCTGCTTTCAGGACAGAGCCAGCTCTGTCCCTTGGTTAAGTTACTGCAGTACTGGTGAAGCATGTCTCACCCTGCGACCCACCCCAGCCATCATGACTGCAAAGAAAAAGAAAAACCTAGCTGCTCTTAGCACCCCACATAAAAGGCCATAGCAGGAAAAGAGGAGCAACAGCAAAGCCCCATTGATGCAGGGCCATCAATCTATCACTGTTTTGCAGAAGGAAATGAATGGCCCATTAAGGAAGCAGTCTGTAACCTCAACTTCCCCATAATGGGTCTCCATCCTAGACTGCCTGGCATCGAAGGGATTTCAGCTCTAAGAATGGACCCCGTGCAGGGCCATCTGCTTTAACAGCAGGAAGGGAAAGGGCTTGCAAAGACAAGGCCACAAACCTACCCCAGCCAAGCAAGCCCAGCCTGTGGCAGTGGTCATACAATGGCTGGGTTAAGGCTGAGCCTGAGGAGGATGTAGTCAGGTGTCTAGTTAGCAGGACAAGAAACCCCAGCTTTTCTCCTTATTAATGCATAGTCACAGTTTACATAGACTGCATCTTGCAGTCCCACTGCCTTTTGCGAATCTTAAGCAACACATTGAAAGGAGGTTCATAGCTCAGCTCTGACACCTGGGGAACGCAGGTTTCCTTAAGGAGACCAGAGGCTGAGGCTAGCAGGAAAATTCATTTAATCTCTGCAAAATTATTCTGAATGCATGTGGCAACGTCTTATGATAATCCAGTATGGGTCCCATAGGAACCCAGCTAATTCCAACAGCATTACTGACAAGCACAGGCAGGGCTGAGCAGTGCTGGAAGGACTGGATTTTGCACTGCTGCTACCTCTGCATCCACAGACACTCGCCACACCAGGCTTGCAGTCATTGCTGCAGCAAGCTTTGGGCTTTTGTTTCATTTTTACATTTGACAAACCTAGAGTGGGCACAGAATAAACCAAGATAAAAGCCAAGCAGCCAGAAAACAGCAGATGACTGAAGCCGTGAAAAAGTTAAGGACTGTACAAAGTGGATCTTCTCTCCACCCACACCTTTCCTTGGCTGCTAACCTGCAAAAGCACAGCCAGCTCTTCAGCAAGCAGAGCAGCACAGGACGGGGTGACAGCGTGGAGGGGAGGGCCAAAGAAGGGGGCAGAGCTGGCTGCTGGTGTCGGCTGTGTGCAGCCTGCCAAGTGGCCCAGTAACACTACACACACTGCTCATCCTCCACCCTGCAAGACCATCCAGAGATCCTCATATCTATCAGAGATGTGAACCCACCAACCATTACAACCTAACCCGGGGTCTGAGGCAAGAGCTGTACAAAGCCTGGCATTGTACAGCAAATATGTACTGCATCTCATCCAGGCATCTGTTTCCAATTAGATTAATGGACATCTAAAATGATACTATAATAATTTTCAAAGCAACCCCCAAAATCAATATCCCAATACTAAGCTCTCTCTCTTTTTTTTTCTTTTTTTTTTTTTTGCGTATGGTACAAAAGGCAGTTTGGGAGAAGATGATCTAATACACCACATATTGATTAATCAATTCCAGCCAGGATGCTAATGGGCTTTTCTTACAACAGTTGGCAGTAGAAGGAGGCAGTGGGATTGTTGAATGAGAGTAGGAGAAACCGGTTGTGTGATGAAGTTTCAGGGCAAGGGGAGGGCATGCAATGGGGAAATGAGCCCTTCTTGAGATCACTCTAAGGCAAAGACTTGGAAGAAATGAAGGAACTGAGCAACAAACGGTAAAGGTAATAAATCAGATATATTGGCTTCAAACACAGCAGAATTGTACCTTGCAATTTACTGTGGTTGATATTAATAATACTCTCCTGTTGCTACAGAAACCCTCACAGGAAGGTCTGCAAACGAGCCCAGCATGGGTCCAGAGTCTATAATGTAGTAGACTGAATATTTTGTCGTCCTACCAGACACTGAAATGATCTATTAATGCCTACTCCAGTTATTTTTCCACATTAGCACTTTTGTCTAAGACAGGGTGGGGTAATTCAGATCTTCCACACGTAGCTGTCTCACCGCCTGTCCCCATGCAGTCAACAGAAAGCAGCAGCTGCTGCAGGCATACATTGCTAAATCATCATCATTGCTAAATTATCATCATTCCTAAAGTGAGTTGGAAAGTGCTCTCTCCTTCATGCCCCTGGACTTGACAAAGCCCTTTACTACCACCGAAAATGAGAGTACAAACCGGACAGACCATCCCCCAACCTGTTACACCCACTGTGGAAATACTGGAAATATGGGAAGATCCAAGCAAAGCATGAAGCTGGGGACAACAGGTCTGCGACAGGCACACAAGTCCCTGCTGACTCCCATAGAGAGGCTGGGCACACTTCACAAGAAAATAGAATACAGTCGCTGGAAACCAGCCGGAGGGATCTATTCCCAGCCTGTGTAAATCACCTCCTGGTCCACAAAGAAGGCAAAGATTAGGAGCTTGCCTCAGTACAGGACACCTCAAAAGCCTAAGTATAAATTACAGACACAAGCGACAGCATTACACTACCAGAAATACAAAGTCATTCAGTTGTTTGTGTGGGGTTGTTCCACCTTTTTAAGAAGGAGAGCAATAAAACTGACCGAGAGGTTTTGACCTTGAGTGGTTGCAACAGTCATGGTTCTGGCTGGCAGAGCTGGAGGCAGCAGAGGCCCTACTGACACAATTCAGCCTGGCGTATCTTCTCTTTAGCCAGGGTCATGCCAGGCATGAAGGTGATGGATAGGGCTTTGCAAAATTGTACTGATGTTGTCAAAATCAGTACTGAATCTCTATGCAAAAATCCAGCCCTCACCGTTCATTGCTGCAGATTACAAAGCCTATCACAAAGGCTGGACCCAACTGAGAGAGGAAACCTTCAGCTGCTAATCAATAAGAAAAAAAAAAAAAAAGCACAAGCACAAACTGACTTCTTTGTCCTGCAAACCATTCTTAAACTAGTGCAAGCCGTACCAGCACCCCCACAGTCGTACAGCCCCATCAGCAGACTCACGTTGTAGAGGATGTCGGTCCATCCCTCCATGGTGATGCACTGGAAGACGGTGAGCACAGCAAAGAGGATGTTGTCGAAGTTGGTGATGCCGTAGTTGGGCCCTTGCCAGTACTCCCTGCAGGTCGTCCCAACCTCACACTGCCTGGCAGGGGGCTCCTCTCCGCAAGGAAAATCTCCCACCTCGTCGCCTGCAGGGGAGAGCAGAGGGGAGAAAAAGTCACCGACCAAAGCCAGGCAAGGCAGCTGGTGCTGCCGTGTCCTCCTTGTGCCATCACATGAGACTGGGTTATATTTCAGGCTTCCTTGTGCCACTCTGGGCATGTACAAGATGTTACACTCGTGAGCATTTACATGTATATCCTGCCGTGCTATAAGGTGGCAGTTTAATGGCAGGGTGGAGCAGAGCTAACCCCAAAGTGCTCACAATTTGCAATTAATTCTTCAGCCATGTCATATGTAGAATCTCAGAGCCATGATAACATGGGTTGGAAAAGACTTTCAAGATCAGCTTGTCCAACCTGACCTATCGAGTTCCATCTCTAAACCACGACTGTTAGTGCCACAAATGAGAAAAACACACACACACAAAAAGCACAGTGAAGTAAAAACAAAGGCATGGGAATGGTGCAAACAAAGAGACACTGAGACACAGCTATGCTGCATAAAGGTGTATTAAAGTGCTAAATATTGGCACTATAACATTATAACACAAGGGCAGGTTCTGCACTCGTGCCTTACACAAGAGCTGCTTGCAGATGGCCCCAGAGCTGTCCAGACGCTGGACCACAGCTGCATGGGGAGCCTCTGGCTGCATTACAAGGCAGTACACCAACAGCTCCAGCCCCACTGTAAGCTTTGTGTTTCTGCCCAAAGGGCAATGCTGGCAGAGGAAGCATCCTGCTACCAGCTTGACTGCAGCAGGGGTCACTCCACAGACCCAGGGAAGCAAGGAAGAAAAAGTCTGTTGTAGTTAAGGACCTCCAGAGACGGCCAAAAGAGTGGCCCATGTCTTCCAGGGCCAGCTGTGACGCATTGCAGCCCTCCAGAGACATCGTCAGCACCAACAGAGAGCAGTTGGAAAACCCAGCACTTTATTTTTCTAAAGCAAATAAATACACTAAGCAATGTTCCTATTTACACAGAGATGCAATTCTGGAAATATTAAATGGTTTTAAAAGTGACATGTTATGGTAATGGAGCAACAAACTCCACAAAATCAAATTCACCAGGGGGGAAACAAAATCAGCGCTAACAATAATTAGGAGTAATCATTCCATAGAGCAAAGCCTGCAGGAGGAAAACAAGACCGTCACTGGCTGCAGGACGTGTGTGTGTGTGCGTGTGCGACATTTTCCTGTTGACTCAACACCTTAAAGCAGGGCATCTCTCCCCAGCTCCCATATGGGTCACCACAGGCTTTCGTAAGGGCTTGGTGAGACAGGGCTGCACAAAGAAAATATCAAATCTGGCTCTTGCAGACCGTTCGTGAGCGTGCCTTAACAAAGGATCCAGTTTTCTCTCTGTTTGGCCTTTTGTTACCAGGTGGTGCTCTGAAAATGCGACGCACATCCTTGTTCTTTTTGAGAGAGAGATGCTGACGGACCAGAACCAGTCCCTGCTCCCACGGCTGGGGAAGAAACGGGAAGAAATGGGAGTGCCAAGGAAAAAAGGGGGTTAATAAACATGATGTTCTCCTTTCCTCTTTTCTCCTTCAGCTTCAGGGCACTTGGGCTGGGTGAGGAGCCACAGAGGGCAGTCGCTTAAAACCCCTGTGTCAGCAGAGTAGGCTGCATAGATGATGCAGGGAGAGGAAAGCAAGTCAGGCACTGGAAAAAGAAAATTATTTTTTTTTTATCCATTTTTCATCAAAATTAAGAGGTGTTTTCACTGGCTCAGAACAGTCTGTCCGTCTGAGTGGCAGCAGCCCTGAATGACCCATTTGCCGTATTTTGGTCCCCAGCATCCCTCTGGTGCAGACTATTACTGACCTACCCAGGGCTGCCGGGCTGTCAGGGCTGCAGCAACATTTACTGCTGACACCTCCACAGTGAGCTGAAGTCATGGCTGGTACCACTCATCTGGCTCCCAATTCCAGGGAAAATCTCCGGAATTTGCTCACTTTGGGGATTTAGAACAGAAACCAGCGTGAGCAAGCCCTCATTCGCTAATCTGCCACCCTTTGACAGAGGCATCTCTTTAATGAGGTTCACATTTCCACGCTGAAGTCAGCCTTTGGAGCCCGTGGTATCAGGCCTGGGCTCGTTAATGCACCTCTTCGGAGCCGACGAGCACTTAGGAGCGAACGGCTGGGCTGACGGCACCGCGGGATGCGCGGCTGCTCCGCTCACAGGGGACCGCAGGGCCAGGAAGCCTCGCTGCCCTGCCCTTCCAGAAACACCACCGCGCCGTTTCCTGCGCAGCAGCTCGAATCGATCCCCGTAATTCGCCCAACAATGGACGCATTTCCCCTCAAGAAAAGCAGGGGCAGTGCCCGTAAGCGCAGGTGCCTTCTGCACCGCCAGCCTGTGCTGCCGCCGAGCCTCCAGGTACCGCGATGCCACGATGCAAGGTGCACAGCAGCATCTTTTGGCTGTGCTCCCAACTCCTATCTGGGCCCCCCCAGCAAGCAGCAGCCACTTACACCCAATTTGTACATGTGGCAATTCTGTCCTCAGCCCCCAGCTTGGCATGGAGACCTCTCAGCCTTCACCGAGGTCAGAGAGCTGTTTGCAGAGAACAGGAACAGCACTGGGGTTTATCTTTCCATATCAAGTTAACCAGTTTCTGAAGGGGCAAATAAATAAATGAATTCTTCTTTTGCCCACTGGCGACAGCCACCATAGCAGAGAACGAGGCGCAGAGCCCAGCGCTCCCAGCCTGCAGCCACCACCTGCAAACCAGGGCTGCAAGAACTCACCCATCTCATTCCAGGGATGCAATTCAACAGATGTGACAACACCCCTTGAAAATGCAAACCTCTTCAGAAGTGCTTCCTCCTTCCCCACCTCAGCAAGAACGTTGCTACATCCTACACACCGACGCTGTCGCCGGTGTTTTTCCTCTGTGACCGCTGCAGTAGCCTGAGACGTCGCAGTGAGCTGAGGCCTCTTCTGCTTGGCACCAAACACACGCACAGCAACAAGATTTTCCTCTCCTACAAATCCAGCCTGAAAATTCACTTCTTCCAGGAAGCACCATGTTTTGCTTGCAAGCAATCTCTAAACACCTGACTGTCCTTTACAAGTTGTGTTCTGTTTTGCTAATGAACATAAGCAAGAGAACAATTTCTCCCTGCTTTTGCAAAGCTCTGTGTAAACTGAATATATTAAACTATTTCCATGTTGTTGTTTGTTATAAAGCCTTGCGAAGGATGCCCAGAGATTTGGCTGGGATGTTCTTTTATTACCATTTGAATGCATATAAATAAATCAATATGAAGACCTATTAGTGATAATCACTGAAAATACAAGACTGTGCTTTAAAGACAGTCAATTATACCTTAAATTGCAATCTTTTGGAGACAGGAACAATATTTCCATCTGTGGATAGTCCAGATAATCAGCACATATTAGCACTACTCTAACAGGAATATTAAAAAATTACATGGGGAAAAAATGGCTTTTGTTTGTCTGTGTGCTTTTAAATTGAAACAAATTCGCTGAGCCTGAGCACCTGCTGTGCTGCCAAGGCTGCACGGTGCCCCTCACCAGACCCTCTTCCTATTCACCTTCATGACCACTCCCTGCCCTGCCCTGTTTGAAGGACATTTTTATCCCTTCTCCATCAGAGGGTCCCTTGCCTTCCATTTATTTACATTTTTTTTCTTTTTCTTTTTCTCTCTCTTTTTTTTTTTCCTTTCCTTGCTCCCAGTCTTTTCACCCTTCCTGATCTCACTGATGTTCTCATACCCCAGAAATCTTCCAAAGAAATTCCCCAGTCAGAAAACTGTTCAGAGAGCGAAACCCACTGAAAATGTGAACAGAGATCAACAAACTGAAACAAAAACCAACCCTTCAACAAGCTGGAACCACCGGAATTTGTTTCTGCATGTCTCTTATGAAAAAGAAGTCTCCCATACCAGGAGGTCCTAAGCACCTTCATCTCGCTCTTGTGTAGACTGACAGCAACCCAGCAGCATCAAGATGGGTGTAAAAGTGACAGAAGGATCTGTCCCAGTGCTTGTAGGGGGGAAAAAGTCTGTCAACTCTTAGAGTAGGGGGGTAAAGACAGAGGGAATACAGCAAACACTGAGAAGGAAAAGCAACGTAAGAGCAGGATGGAGAAAAGCATCTTATGGAGATGGAAAGCAACCCGATGTGGTGATGGGGCCTGGAAACATCAAGACAATCCACTGGGATGGCAGCAAAGCCCCAGTCTCACCTGTCTCGTTGGAGAAGCAGGTTTTGTGAAACTTCCCCATGTAGAACTCCAGCCCGATGATGGCAAACATCACGATGGCGAAGAAGAGGAGCAGCCCGATCTGAAGCAGGGGCACCATCGCCTTCATGATGGACTTGAGGACAACCTGCAAACCTGTGGGGCGGGGAGAAACAGGTAGTCAGCAAGGGATGGAAAACAAGGGTTGGGGCAGGAGGTAAGGGGTTGTCTAAGGGCAAGATTAGGACTGGCAATGTCATGCAGTGCTGTGTTTCCCGGGGGGCTGTAAAGACAACACTACACGCATCACACTCTGAGGATGTCAGACACACAGTCAGGAGTTACCTTTTTCTGACCCTCTTACTTCAGATCACAGACTCAAAGCCCTCCTAAGCTTCAGAGACACAAAAAGGACTTTTCCTGCTGCCAGTAAAGTCCGAGGACTCAGCTGGGAGCTGAACCAGGCCCTTAAGGCAGATCCTGTGACCGTGGGGGTGGCCTTAGGCCTGCTTCCAGCAGAGCAATGCAGAAGCAAAAGGAAAAGAGACCCAAACGCCGTCTTCCAGGGCTCTCCATCTACAGCTTTTTCACCGGCTCTGAAACTCATTTTCAATTAAAACCAGAAGAGATAAGGCTAGAGAGGCTGGCGAGATGGAGGTGTCAGATAGCGTCACGCAGACGCACATAACAAAATAAATTCAGCGATAACTGGCAGCTGAGAGCCACCTTGGTGGCCCGCTCGGAGGTGCTGAGAAGGAAGGGTCATCAGTGCCTTGCCACCTTGTTCTGTGCAGCTCTACCGAGGTCAACGTGGGGCACACAAAAAAAAAGCATTAATATCCGTTGGAGAGGAAAAAATACCTGGAGTGTAGAAGAAAAAAGAGTATAGGATGCTCGTAAATGAATGAACCTCAAGGCCGTACATTTTTAAAACGGGGTGGGAAAAGCACAGGGCACACAGCATTTGCAGCATCACTAAAACATGAGAGCAAAGGATGCTGTATGGAAAAACGCTGTGCTGGTCCAGGGCATGTCACCAGGCTGGAGAGCATGTATCCCCCCAGGACGGGGACACTCCTGTGGGACCACAGCCCCATGCAGGGACACTGGAGCCCAGTGCTTATGGAAACACTTATACAATTACTTTAGTCCCTCTTCCTCAATACCGAAATCAGTGAGCAGATACTTGTGTCGGCTGGAAACAGTTTGTGTCAAAATTCCCCAGCTTGAGGCCTTTTCCCCCCCCATAACACTCATCAGCAGAAGCAATATCTTTCACTGGAAGAACTGCCTTATGTAGAGAAAGAAGAAAATATTTCAGACACACAAAGCCCATTCTGAGCTACCCTATTATAAAAAAACATATTGGTACTTCCACAAACCTTACTTCCCTGACATCCTTAGACATGGGCAAGACAAACATAAGAAAGAGCCAGCAGCACCTCCTTATTAGAGACCCTATAAATAAATAACATTTTTCCAAAGCCTAGCCAAGGACCTGTGCTATGTGGGGATTCAGACTGAAGCCCTGCCTGCAAAAGGATGCTGATTTCAGGTTTTTTTGGATGCTGTTAGTATCTGGCATAACCCCTTGCTAGATCTCTATGGCACTGGCATTTCAGCCCCAAGGTAGCAGAGCTGACACCGCAGCCCACAGCCTGAGAGGAGAGGGGCTGCCCAGGGGTTAATGAGGAGCATCCCACAGAGCTGAGGGGTTTGCTGCAGGGAAAACCTCCCTGTTCCATGCTCAGAAATGAAATATGCTCCTGACAGCCATCCCCTCTAGCAGGCAGAGAGCTGGTGAGCAACGACAGGCAAAAACGCAATAAGCAATGGTGCCAGGGCTTGGGCAGTCTCAGGGCATAAGCAAGACAATATGCACCTCCCCATCAGACCCTTCACTTTGGCATGTAAAAAAGATCAAGTTGCCAATGAGAAGGCAAGAGTAAGTCCTATCCATTCCATGCCTTAGTTTTTTCCCTGGTGCTACAGAAGCAACAAACCCCCCAGCAGGGCGTGAGATGCTCAGCTGAAATTGTTGGAAGATCCAAGCTCAGGGCTAGGGGCCTGAAAGCTGCAAAATTTTGGTCTCATGGCTTTGTATCTGAATTGAAACAATCCAACCCCAACGGCACAGGCGTCCCAGGACAACTCCCTGCCACCCACCCGCATTGCTGAAATCAGGCGCTATCCACAGCCTGGGGGAACAAAACCAGGAGCTAGCAAAAACAAGGAGCCACAGACCACAAAGAAGCAGAGGAAGAACATATTGCTCAGAAAAGCATACTACACCCCAAAAGCTCTAGAGCCCTTTGGCTGTGAAGGTGACATTATCATGGCACTCACTTGGGATTCCTGACACCAGCTTCAGGGGCCGCAGCACTCGGACAGCTCGCAGGGTCCGCAGGTCAAAGTCAGTCCCAGCAGTTGCCAGAATCCTAATGTCAAAAAAGAGAAGAGAAAGAGAGGGGAAAAATGGGATTAAATGCAAATTCCCGTTTCCAAAGCGTGAATAGACATATTCAGGCTGCTTCAGATTTTATACCTGTCATTATATTGAAAATTGTATCTGCTGGAAACCAATAATTTGCAGAGCTGCTGAGCTTTAATCAGGCTGTAAGAAAATCCACAGTATCGGCTTGTTTAAGAGGCTGCTTACACACAGCGAGCAGGCCTGGCTCTGGCCCTTAGAGAACAGCACCCTGTACTTACAGGAAAGAATACACCATTTTAAGAATGAGACAGTGAAAAGAAAATAACCCCCTCAGTTACGCCAGAAATTACCTGCCAGGGCTTTTTGACACAATAAATTCAGGGATTTCTTAATATCTGAAGTAGGGTCTGGTTATATACTTTATCTGAACAAAAATTAATTTCACACTGAGCACCTTATTCATGGAGACCATCCAGAGAGCAGGGTGCATTTCCTATGGTATGCTGTTGTAACCTTGGTAAGAAGTACAGATCCCAAACCCAAGTGATTCTTTAAAAATGAAATTTCTTCAAAAGATGAAAGAGCTTTGGCGCTTTGGGACACAGTAAAGGAAGAAATATTGTCACAGTATCCACAATCCACAAAGACATGAACTCCTTGATTGAAGAGCTGCAAGACACACATTACCCACAGAGAGCATGGCAAAGCTTCATTCACTAATTAGTGTAGTTCTTCCTTCAACGTTTCAACAAAAAAATTCTTGATTTAAGACACAAGCCAAGCATGCAGTTAGTCAAAACCCTCTCACCAACTCCTTCTTCACTGCCTAATTTAAAGTGCTGATGGGTGATCTCCACTAGTTTTTGCCAGGTTTGTTCCCAGGCTGCTGTATCAAGGCAGGGGGTGCTGAGCAGCCAGCCCACAGTGGGATGTGCAAGCACCCAGCCACCTGCAGTAAACACACTTGGAGCCACCACTGTTACAACCAAACCAACAAAAGCGTGCTCATGCGGACCCAACCTTTACTGCGACCTGACTCTTTGCCAAACCTTCCCCAAGAGCTACAGCAGCAGAAAGACTAGAAAAACTGGTCAAAATGTGATATCCCAGAGCTGCCATTGGGAGCAGTGAAGGACCTCTCCTGTGGAGCATGGGAGAGCTGGAAGGAGGTTGTCAGACACGGGCATCCCCTGGGGATACAGCACCACGGCACCGCAGCGCCAGGTCCCATGCAGTGATGCTCCAGGAGGCACAGAGCACCCACAGCATGCAGCACCCAAGACTGATCTCCACCTGCCCAGAAGCCAGTTTTTCCTCAGTTCCTTATAACTTGCTGCTGAGCTCTCAGGGAAGTGGCCATCTACCATAAAGAGAACAGGAAAATCAGAGTTTTTCAAACTCTGCAATGTTACTGCATGGCAAGTACTAAGCAGGACGTCCGGCAAACTGGGAGGATGTGGCTGTGCTCACAGAGCAGCTCCACGACTTAAAGCCCTGTCCTTGACTTACTGACTGACTTAATGCTGCTGCCCAGCGTGGGCCAGGGAAGAGCAGGCTCAGCATTGCTGTGCGGAAGGGGCCAGACTCAAGCAGCAGGAGGTGCTGGAGGTCAGGAAAAACCATGCTGAGATGTTGGATGGCAACAGAGGCAGCAGCAAGCCAGGACCCGAGGAGCAGAGTATCTATTCTATAGGACACCTGTTCCTACCTTTCCTCAACCAGAAAATTCACGTTACGTCAGCTCTGTTGATGCCATTTGAGCAGAAGCAACACGAAACAAATTTAAACCAAGGCCTATCACATTCAGAGACTTCTAATTTTAACTTCTGCACCCATGCCAATGACCTCACTCCTCTTTTCCCTTCCCTCCATCCTCACAAGGTAATTGCTCCCTTATAAACCCCAGCAGCCCGGGAGCAGCACACGCTTCAAACCAACAGATAATCTTGAACATCCACCTGGGATGTTGCTGCGAAAGGCACCATCAGTCTTTAGCAAGCTAAGATGGATTTGTGCTGTCATCAGGCACGTTTGTGCTACAAGCTGAGAGGAGGGGTGCTCGATACGTTCATTGGTTTGTTTCAGAGCTCATCAAGGAGGAAACAGGAGTGAGGGGGGATCAAATAGTCCCATGGCACCAGTAAATGCTCAGTGGCTGAAGGTCTTTGTTCCAGTCCTGTCTTCCTTAATAGGCTTGATGTTAAAAACAGTCTGCTCAACCTGTAGCAAAGCCCCCTAGTCAAAAACCCTAATTATTCATAAATTCTCACATCTTTTATGTTTTAATCACCTAGCTAATTTATATAGGAAATCCTACAGCTCACCACTTTCCATGGAGAGTTGCCCCATGGAATTTCAGTCTAATCATACAAAAAAAATCATGGGAACTGCCCATGCCCACATGGCTAAGCTGTCACTGCCAGGTCTGCCCATGAATCAGCCACAATAGGAAAATTATAAAACCCCAGACAGATTTTACCTAGTGAGAAAAAAATACAGCAGCATCCTAAACAAAGCCACTTGCATTGAGAGAAATGGAAGAGCAATGGGATGACGTGGTGGCTCTGGATCTAGAAATCCACATTTGAGACTTTTGGGTAAATGATGCAGGTGGTGGGTGCCCAGCCTTAAGCACCGTGTGTCTCACAAGGAGGGCTGGATGCTGCAGGCAGTGACCATTGCCAGCAGCCCAGGCAGGCCGTCCAAGCAGTGGCATGAGGAAAAGAGGGCCCTGCAGATTTTAGAAGTGTTAGGGGTTAGTGTCCAGCCTAGGAGCCATGGGGTCTTACAGCTCCGAAGGAGCGCTGGCAGAAAGCTGGAAGTGCTTGGAGGACCAGGGAAGAACAGAGGTGCATCTTCATCAAAGCCTGCAAAAACAGTGCTAATTTACAGCTGCACTGCAGCCTGTGCCTCTAAACTGTTTGCAGATGTGTGTGGAAAACAGCCTCAGTGCCCCAGTGAGGGAAGGCTGCAATCAGCTCCGTGACATTTGCCCAAGTGCCAGCTTTCTGCTTCATTTTTCCCCCCTCTTCCACAGTCCAGCTGAAAGCTCACAGAAGCCACTGTGAGTTGGGCCAGAACGAGTCGGAAATGGTCATTAAAAATATGGGAAACCGAGAGATGAAGGGAGCCAGCTGGCAAGCACGTCCTGACAATCCTGCCGAAGCTGTCCCGGCTGTGCAGCAAAGAGCTGAGAACAAAGCAGAGGTGCCGGACGAGCCAGGGCCGGGAGCAGGGATCAGCTGTGGAAAGCAGAAAATAGCACAGACAAGGTTTAAGCAGATAACTGCACAAAGATAAATGGATTGATGTGCAGCCCTTTTTGTTTCCTAACGGGTTGTACAGAAACTTTGAGATTTGGTAGGCTTACAGGAAGGAGTCTCGTACAAAATGAAAAATTGGATGAATCATGGAAGTGCAATGACCGAAATTAGCATCAAAAGGAGCAACCAAGCACAGGACTGACACAGCAACACCAGCACAGGGCCTGGCCAAAGCATCAGAGACATCCCCTTCACCACCATGATGCAAACTGCTGCTGGCCATGAGGCTCAAACTCCCCCAGACCCATCCTGCGTGAGCACAGAGCAGGACTCATCGTGGCCTCACCTCAGTAGTCAGGGTCTGCCCCATACCAAACATTAGGATTCGCATCCCTGCCAAAGCACAAACAGAAATTCAAACACTGCAGCGAGTGCAACAAAATCTTGGTAAATCAGTTCAGTGCATACCTCGCCTTTGGCACAGGCGGGGTGGCTGGCACAGGGGTGGCTGGCCATCCAGACCCTTCTTGCTCACGTGCTGCTATGGGTCTGGAGATCTGGGCACACATCCTGCTAGCTCAGTGGTGCTCAGGACCACTGCACACTGTCCCTCACTTGGATGACAACTTGGCTAGGCACTGCTTTCTGTACCACCACCTCCACTAACAAGCTCTGACTTCTGTTCCCCCAGACAAAGGGCAGGTTTGTGATAAATACCTGATACCTTTTGTTCTAAGAATGCCTGGAATATATCATAAGAAGAGCTTATTCCCTTGGGTATAAAAGAATGCAAAGAACAGAGTGAAAGTGTCCTTCCTGAACATTATGCTAACATAAATAATTAGCAATCCATTTCTTGAAGTACCTAGGAGCTCAGTACTTCTACGTACAGGTTCAACAAGGCACGCATTGTCACACGATGCTGCACGTTTCCGAGCTGCCTGATACCATCGGTATCTGCTGGTATCGCTGTCCATAAATCACATCTGAGCCGTGCACCACAGAGCTGTGACTGGCTGCAAGTCCAGCAGCTTTGGCATCCCTGCTTGCAAGCAGATAACACAAAGCTACAGCAAAAGGCAGCGAGATGAATAACTGAGAATTATTAACACTTCCAAGCTGATATCTCTGCTGGACAACGCCGGTGCCAGGGCAGGTTCTGCTAGAGGAGAAATCACTGGCAGAAATTGTAGGCATTTTTTAATGTAACCTTTTCATTTACTATGAACTCTAGTCCTAGAAAGTAGGGGAAAGAGCAATTTTATTTTTTTTTCAGACTTCTTATCCCAAACACCCATTTCTAAGAACTGAATCAATCTTTTCAGCAGGATTAGGAGAGAGACTAAATACCCATGAGACAGCTTCCCTGGGAAAAAAATAATAAGATAAAACTAGCCAACAGCACGGCAGCTGTCTGGTGGAAATAGCAACCACCACTTCACACCCATAGACTCAGCCCCACCTAATCCAGGCACTGTGTCAGCACTGACCCCAAAATCTGTGGCAGAAGGGGGAGCACAGAAAACTCCAGTAAACCACTCCCACATCCAGAACCAGGCTTTGGGCCCAGGCTGCTGACATTTAACAAGCCCTAGTGACCGGCAGGTCCTGCTTTGAAATAGAAACCAAGGGGGAAAGGAAGGGCAGGCTGTCCTCCCTGCCTGTGACTTGAAGGAGCCTTTCCTGATGGCTGCCAGCTGTGGTAGGTCTTCATAAACACCAGGCAACCACTTCAGCAATG